TTATCAACCATCGACAGTGTTTTTATACCCCTGGCGACATGGAACTACATGATACAATGGAATTGCAACGGACCACTTAATAGATCTCCGTTGTATCCAAATGCCTTTGACATTTTGAAATTTAGCTGCCATGCACCTGCAGAGACGCTGCCGAATTTCTAAATCCTAGAATCTATGAAGTGTACTCGACAACTAGACTACCTCTGTCGGTAAATTGTAACACTTAATCCTAATTCTGTAGCTAATCAATACCTCAAGAGTCGCCTATGTGAGTTCTTCGGAAAGGTTAATACGTCTTTTGTAGTTCTCGCTTATTTTCTTCCCTCGACAACAAGATCGCGTGACCCACGTTAAAAAATGATTATTACCCAGCATGTTGAGAGACATCTATCTTATTTAAACGCATCAGCGGACCGCCGAAGGCTATTTTTCTGACAAACAAATTCATCATTTATTCAGTGTGACAAGTGCAAGCTTCACAGTTGTCAGAGAGAGAAAGTTTATCTACGAGCAATCCGTATTAACAAACGACAGCAACGTCTTCAAAACGCTTTTTAGCGGACTATTTTTAGTACATGAGGTGTTCTTTTCGTTTGTCACAGTACTAGTATCCTTGCAGATAACTGAATTACAACTTGAAAAGCTAAACCTAAAATTCTTAATTCTCAACGAAATTCTTATAATAACTCTAATAGTTGTGGCATTACAATAGGCTTAAAATGGACGAATTAAGCGAAGTTTGGTATAGACGGCCTATTACACACAGCTCTTACAATGTGTACTTTCTGATTGATGGCTCAGCAATCTGTTTATTTCCGGTGGCGTTATTTCAAAAGGACAGCACACGCGTCAGAAGGTGCAATGCGAATAACTTGAACCGGCGAAGTTCAAATTTCTACAACTCATAGCGTTGAATTCAGTGATCGAGTTAATAGGGAGCTTAAGCAACGACGACGACGCCGAGGACGACGCCTAGTAAAAAATGAATTTACATTTTACAAGCGAAATTCGCGATTGTCTAGATCTGTTCGGTGCGTCAATGGTTCTACAAACGTGCTTAAGCTTAATATGCAACGACGGCGTTCAATTCCTAATGGAAATACGAAAAATTAGCCGTCGTCGTCCACGTTCCGTAGACGACGCAGAACTTGGTCATTTCACGTTAATTGTTTTGCAGAGGACGGCAAAGAAATGAACAAAGATTTATAACGCACGTACACAGCCATTGTACTGCTCATTAAACCTATTGTTTAGTGACGTTCTCGTTGCCGTCGTCGTCGTAGTTAGCTTAAGCTCCCTATTAATACTGCGAGAACGACAGAGCAACAACGATGAGTCACAGACTGATAACTTATCGTCATCAAGAAGAGAAATCAACTTTCTCTTGACGAGAATGATTGGCCATCCACCGTCTTACGAAGAAGTAACCAGGAATGACGACAATAATGACGCAACTACGCAGACGCAATGTGTAGCTCCTCCATGTTACACAGATGAAGAACAGGAGACGGATACGAATCCTTCTCCACCATCGTATGAAAGTGTTGCTCTAAGAACGTTAAACAAGTGAAGCGTAAAATGCTACCTAAAGAACACGCGACAGTGTTTATATAAAGTTTAATTTGTACTCTTTTGTACAATTTGTCCTCTCTTTAAATTCCACCTAACTACACGGGCTGGGCATCCCACGCTTGGGAGGAAATTTAATCTACATGGGGCTTTTTGAATTGGTCAAAAGTTCAACTGTCAGTTATAATCCGAGATTTGAGAAAGTTTCTGATGGCTTTGAAATGGGCTGAAATGTTAGCTGATATCTGAGAAATTGCCGAAAATTAACTGCTAATTCCAGCACCCTCATCAAAACCCTCTTCTAATGACCACTGGCTTGCAGGTTTGTGCGTCGCATTTTCTTATGATTTAAACAGCAATACTTCCGCAATTCAGAGTCTTCGTATTTTCATGACTTTCTTCATAAGACGGTGGTGCAGAAGTCGACGTGTTGTCCAAATTCGATTCATTCGCATCACTTGGTACAACTTTATGCATCAGTCAACTCCAGCAGTGCCCATCCCCCCCCCCCCCCCCCCCCCCCCCAAAAA